ACGTCTCATATACGCCAAACACATTGGCAATTGAAATCCAAATTCAGTAGCTACTCGTGCTCGGTCTCAAGCAAACTAGCATTGCGAGATGCACGTCTCTCATACGCCAAACCCATTGGCAACTTTGTTTAAAATCCCAATTCAGTAGCGACTGGTGCTCAGTCTCAAGCAACCATGCATTGCGAGATGCACCCCGCTCATACGCCATACTCCTCTCATACGCCGTTTTAAACAACCTTGTTTAAAATCCAAATTCAGTTGCGATATACCCGTGCTCGGTCTCAAGCAATCATGCAATTGCGAGAAAAACTTCTCTCATACGCCAAACCCATTGGGAACTGCTAAATCCATAGGAGGATTTGTGCTCGGTCGCAAGCAAGCAATTATGTATTGCGAGATGCCCTTCGGTCATACGGCAAACACAGTGGGCCTCTGTCGCCCAAGCAAATGCAATAAACTACGGAAGCTCGGAATGAAGCAATCATGCAGTGCAATTCGCTCCCGTCCCATACCATACGAAAGCACAATACCCAATTACCATTTTATTAAAGGCGAAAGTAATCACTATAGCCTAGCTATTTTGCTTTTCAACAATTTAATCTTGCGAAATACACGACCCGCTCGCGTAGAACATTAACAAAATTAACAATACTAATAATACCAGACGGAAATCATTCATGCGTCGCAATCTCAACTGAACTAAAATAACCGAAAGCGAACTTGACGGTAAATAACCCCGCACAAGGACGGAAATATAAGAAGATATAATGTATAACATACAACAGAACTGTAACTAAAACCACAAGTGTAAGCGATCTTTAAACACACACAAAAGAGAGGCGGCCGTATTTTCCGATCAGCCGCCCACGAGTGAACCATGCATGCATGCGTTATACAACGAAAATAACTTCGCCACACCGATCATATACTGCTAACAAAGCGATATAACTACCCAAAGGGCAAAAATCTTAACTAGACCCGCAAAAAAACACGCTACAATACAAACAAATACCAATAGGAATAAAAGAATCACGTCCAAGTCCAAGTTTGATGCCTGAAGCTGTTCATTTTCAATTGGGATCATTCACCGGCGAAACTGGTTCATTCTGAGGCGGAGCGGAATCAAGATCAATCGGTTGGGCAACAGCATTAAAAGTACCGCTTCTTGTAACGTGCAAGGAGGGCGAACAGGCGTGGAGCCATACTGTAAAGTCCGTAAATTTCTTTATCTTGCACTTCTCTGTCTTGGCGATCAGCACAGAAAGAGCAGTTACAACCTGTAAACTAGGGTTTTATGCATTGTACATCATTATTTATTCATAAAACAACGTTAATTACTCAAATTCCATTAGTTAATCAGCTTCCGCGGCGTGTTTGGCCAATTTGAATACAATGCAACACCTTCAAGTAACAACAATGAGAGTTGTACGTACGTCCAGCCAACCGAAACGCAAAAGAGACAGAAACATAGCCTAATATGGTTTAACCCACCTTACAGCAAAAACGTAGTAACAAATATTGGTAAAACCTTTCTTCAACTTATCGACAAACATTTCCCTAAATCAAGCCGTCTACATAAGATCTTTAACCGCAATTCAATCTCAATCAAAATTAGTTACAGCTGCATAAAGAATGTCAAGACAACCATTTCTAACCACAACACGAGAATTAGATCGAAAAAAAAGAAAGAAAGATGAATGCCGCCTCCAGAAAAATGTCTGACCCAGGCTATCGTGTACCAAGCAGACTGAAGTAAAAAGTTACGACAACGGTGAAACGAAGCGGTATATTGGGGTAACAGCTGGGGAATTTAAAGACAGGTACAGAAACCATAAGAAATCATTCGAGCTTCAGAGATACGCGAATGAAACGGAGCTATCGAAGCATATTTAATGAAATACGAAAATCTAATGAACAAAAGATCGGAAATCTTCTCGAAGTGCGTGCACCAGAAACGATTTTTAGCGGAAAATGTGATTCGTGATACTCGCGCTATGATGCGCGCGAGGGAGCTCCGTAAAAATTGTTATTTATAGTAATTTGAATACATAGCTGTGGAGCCAAACTTTTAGGACAGTTGTCTAAGGATATCGTGGACTAGATCCGTGTATTTTTGGAGGTTAAAATTCAATCCAAGGACTTTTAGAAGAGTTTCTCTGCTTCGCTTGACTGGTAAATTTAATTTGTGAAACATTTTACGTGAACTTTTACGTGAACGTTTGCTTACGCCACACATCGTCACCAACGGTCATCTAACGTCAGCGAATCTTCTTCAAATTATTACGTGTTGAATTAATTGCGTGCGCGTGAATTTAATTAATTTAAATTTAAACCCAAACATGGTTTCAAAGAATGTTTCAGACGGCAAGAAATATTTGGCGAAGATTGGACGAGACATAATTCACATTCTGCTTCTTTTTTCCATTTTGCGGCTGTCATTGAAAACGAAAAGAGCACTTTATACTGGTCAAATCACATCAGGAAACATTTTTATCAGCTCAGAACTTATTATACTAAAACTGTCTGTACCAGTGTTGGTAGTACCAATGTGAAAATGCTGTGCTGAGTGGTTATATTACTACCTTAAAAAATAAGCAGAAACTCGACGTTTCGAGCGAAGGCCCTTCGTCTAGAGTTAGTAGCAGGGATCGGGGAAAATGCACGGGCTTTTATACTAGAGTATGAAAGCATTACGTGACAAAAAATAAACCAATTAGATGGATTTAATAATAAAGTGTGTAGAATAATTTGTAACATTATACTATTGATAACGCCGTAGGAGACCAAACAATGGGTGATTTAGTTGATTGACGTAAGAAATGTATCGTATGTCATAAATAATAGACTTCGAATTGATTGTCAGACTGAACGCACGAGAGAAAACCAGAAGGATTGTCATGTTATGTATTTTATCGTTTGAATAGTTTTAAATAAATATGTTTTAAAGTAAGCGTGTGTGTACTATTTCCGATGGTATTGTTCTGATAGTATACAGTCCCCACGAAGCGCAACTGTCTTGCGGTGTAAGACAGAACTTGAACCGGATAGATTTCGAAAGAAAGAATCGAGATAGATAGATACGACAATGCCGTTGGACGAGCTGACAAAGAAAAGAAGAACACGCGCAGCGCACAGAGGTTCAGCAACGAAGATAGGAACGAAGATTAAAGAATGTTTAGCGAATAAGAGTGAAACGCCTCAGACAGACAAGAATGTGCTGAAACAGCTGAGAGACACGCTGAGCGAGAAACTCGAAGCCTTGAAACTTTTAGACAACGAGATTGTCGAGATACTAAGTAATAGTGAAGCCGAAGACGCAGAACAACAGCTGGAAAAGGAAATTCAGGAGACAGATGATACGCGAGCTGAATTACAAAAAATAATTCTCGACGTGAATGACGCATTGTTCGAAGTCTTGCCGTCACTACCACAAGGTCAAAGTACACCATCGAATCTGAGTATGAACGCTACACCCAAACAGACTGTTCGCGCAAAGCTCCCAAAGTTAGAGGTCAAAAGATTTAATGGGAAAATTCAAGAGTGGCAAGAATTTTGGGACTCCTTTGATAGTTCTGTAAATCAGAATGACGCTCTATCAGAGGTAGATAAATTCGCGTATTTGAAAGGTCTACTGGTTGATCCCGCGCAGACAACTATCGCAGGGTTCACGTTGACAGCAACGAACTATAAAGTTGCATTAGAACTCCTGAAGACACGATATGGGAAGAAAATGGCGATACAGAGAGCTCATATTCAAGCGTTAATGAACATAAAGCCAGTATACAACGAGCGAGATGTGCGTCGACTACGGGAATTGTACCATGCCTGTGAGACAAACTGCCGAGGTCTGAAAACCCTGGGAGTGGACGAAAGTTCGTATGCTACGATTGTTGTTCCGGAAATACTCGACAAGCTGCCGGAATCCCTTCGTTTGACGATAACTCGTGGGTCAAGTGCAGGTGGATCAGATTTTCTAAATTGGACGATGAAGGATATTCTAAAGGCACTTTTAGATGAAATTGAATTACGCGAAGCACACGAGTCATCTACGACGAACACGTCAAAACAAGAAGGAAGGAAATCACAGTTTCTAGATGGATCGGCGGCTGCTCTTGTTAATCATACCACCAGGGAAGGGAAGCCAAGATGCGTATATTGTTTACAAGAACATTTATCACAAGATTGTAAGAAAATTCAGAATGCTGGTGAGCGTAAACAGATACTTCGTAAGTACGGACGGTGTTACATATTAGTACAAATTACAAATTACATATACAAATTACATATTGGTAGTAATTGTCTAAATACGAGTAAATGTAATGCATGCAGTAAACGACATCATAGTTCTATTTGTGAGAGCCATGCTAATGGGTCTATAACCGCTGACGTCGTTCATTCCACACATTCGTGCGTTGGGTCAGCAAATAGAGTAGCATTGCAGACAGCTCAGGCTTTGGTAATGGGAGGAAAGGAGAATGTGAGAGTGCGGGTTATGTTTGACTCAGGAAGTCAACGGTCATTCGTTACGGGCAAGGTAGCTCAGAAGGCAGGAGTGCCAGTAAAGAGGAAGGAATGGGTGGAAATTAGAACGTTCGGACAGGAGAAAGTTGAAGGGAAGTTGAGAGAAGTGTTTGAATTGAGTGTAGCCCCAGTACAGGGGGGAGAGAGTGTTAACATTGAAGTTTATGGAGTAGACAGCATTTCACAGATTAGGAACGAGCATGTAGAGACAAGGAAGAAAGATTACCCACATTTGCAAGGGTTATGGTTTTCCGATGTTTGTAAGACCAAGAATATGTTAGAAACAGAGTTACTAATTGGCGCAGATTATTTGTGGTTAT